GCGCGACGCGATGGCGCTGGGTTGAGTGGAGCATAGCCGCGTCAGGTGATGGCGGCGGCGACTGCCTGAGCTCGACGCCTCGACTGAATGGAGGCTTACCAAGATTTTTTTAGGACCCGGGACCTGAGCGGTTGGGTCCGCGTGGCCGCAGCGGCGGCGGCGGGGCCTGCTCGCGCGCTCGCAGCAGCAACGCCAATCGTAGCTGCTATCGCAGCAGCCGCCCCATCCAAAAATTCGTCGGCCTAACAGCATCCTTCTTCGATTCCTCATAGCCAGCTCCCTCACCAAGGTAATCGCTCAATTTGGCAGATTTTGCGCCGTCAGCCGCCATTGCCGTGGCTCGAGCTCCGCACGCGGCCCCGCTCTCTGCCTCACTAAGTCAATACCACTTCGCCTGTTCTAGGTCCACCCCGATGCCCTCCATCTTGGCCTCGCACAGGTTCCAGGGAGCTTTGTCGTCACGCCGGGAACGGGGCCCTTGCCGCCGGTTTCCATCGCCACTAGGCATGCCGCCATGGCTAGCTCTGCTCCACCCACCTCGGATTTGCTGCGGGTGGGATACACCGTGGGGAGGTGACCCCTTTGCAACTTGGCCAGTTCCCGTGCTGAGCTTGGCCTTGTGCTGTCACAGCGCGGCACTCGTGCCTCCATTGCTGTGCGCCTCTGCCATGGCCGCCGTCGTGGTGCCTGATGCATCTACCGCCACCGCTTGCAAGCTCCCTCACCTGGCCTCGGGGAAGTGCTGCGAGGAACTGAGAGGGAGAGAGAGAGCTGAGCGGGCCGGCTCCTGTTTTGACCCGCGCGGCCGTCCTACGTGATGGTCAATGCCAGCGTGGCGGGTCAAAACCAGGCACACGTCAGCGCAAACCGCCTCAATCGAGCCGAGGTGCTAAAACTGAACGGTTTTGAAAGTTCCAGTGCCTGGACCAGACGGTTTTGTAGTTGGGGGTCAAAATTAGACCAACATGATAGTTAAGGGGCCAAAAGTGGACTTAATCTTTTTTGTTGGATTAAGTCCACTTTTGGCCCCTCAACTATCATGTTGGTCTAATTTTGACCCTCAACTACAAAACCGTCTGGTTCAAAAACCTCAAGTTTAAAAACTGTTCACTCTTGGCATCTAGACACGGTTGTGGCTGTTTCGTGCCGACGTGTACCTGGTTTTGACCCGCAGCGCTGGTTTTGACCGCCACGTAGGACGCACGCACCGATGGATAGCCGCGCTCGCAGCCGATTTACGCCATAGAGAGCTACCTTCGCCGGACTCTTCACGCGCAGGCTGCACCTCCTCCGCCGCCCACCGCGGCCCGCTCCCTGAGCGCAGGCTCTCCATCAACGCGCCGACCATCGTCATCTTTGTGGGCGCGCGCTCTTACTCACCGACACACCCAGCAGCCTCGTCGTGCTCGCCTGCGCCGCAGTCGCCCGGGTACGCGGGCTCGGCACGGACGTGGACGCGGAGCTCAAGGAGATCTCGCGCGCCAGAGGGAGGACGGCGCGTTTCACCGGCTGGCGACAAGGCGTGAGTACCACCCGCACCTGGTCCTCGGCCTGGCCGTGCCCATCTTTTGCCAGCTCACCAGCGTCATCGTGCTTGTCTTCTTCGCGTCATCGAGCTCGCCACGACAGAGCAACCGTCTGCCCTCTGCCACTGCACCTCTCCCTCACCCTCCGGGAAGAGCATCCAGCGGCGCGGGTGGAAGTGCGGGTCTAGCAGGGCGCAGCCGTACGGGGAGGCGGTGGTGGCGCGCCAGTGGGAGCAGGCCGCGCGGAAGCGAAGGTAGTCTAGGAAACCACCCGTTGCGAGAACCCGCGCCAAGATGAGCTGCGTCAGCTCGACATGGAGCGACGCCTAGTCCGGCGCCGCCTCCTCGCACTCCCCGCCACCGCTATGCAAAGAAGCGCCTTGCTGCAGTGGCCCGGTGGCCATCCCCTACTCCGCCTGTGTTTTCTTTAGAAACCACGTCAAGACCGCGCTTGCCCTGCATGCGTCGTGCGTGGGAATGTCAAAGGCCTATCGGGGTTCGGTCAGAGGACTTGCGCGCTGGCGTCGTTGTCTATCTACCATTGGCCAGTTCTCGCCATTGTCGATTGGTGATTGGGTCGGGTACAGTCGGGCCCAACGGCAGCGCCCAAGCGTCCATCGGTCGAAAAGTCTGCTCTCTCCCACCAAAATATCTAGAGCAGTGTTGTCTCTCCCTGCTTTGTTCCTACTCTCTCTCCCTCCCTCTCTCTCTCCAACAGCGGCGTGAGGCGTGGAGCCATAGAGGCGCGGGTGGGCTTGGGCGCGGTGGTGCAGTCGACCATCGGCGGTCTTCCATGGCCGACCAGGGTGTGGGCGCCCCCGACGTGGGCACACCCCATTTGTGGCTGTGGCGGGCGCTGGCCTTGGCGAGTGGCCCCCCTACTGGTGGGCTCCGGACGGTGGGTGGTACAGGCGGGCCCAGCTGTGGGTGCGGGCGCAGGCTAGGTGTGTCCTCGCTTTGTCGCGGCACCGCAGTGATCCATGCAGACATGGGGCGAGGGCAGCCGACGAGGCCACGACGCGTCGTCGCACCGGCACGGGCGTAGACCCAGGTAAATACCCACATGCGCATAGATCTAGGCATGGTGGGCGCGCGACATCAGCGTTGGTCAGCGACCGACGGTCGCTTGAGCTTACATGTCCTATTTTTTTCTTCTTGAACGGTCATGCCTTTTGCTCATTGCTTTTCTTGGTTCGCAGAAGACGAGACTCCAGAGGAATTGTGGGGGCGCCGTAGTGCGGTGTTGCGGCGGAGCTGCGGCGGTGTGCTCGTGGTGCTTGGAACTATGCCTATGCGGAGCTGCGACGGATGCGAGATTGGGCCTCTCCGTCGTCTCCACCTTCTCCTTTGGCTTCCTCCTCGGGATGGGCAGCGCGCTGGAGACGCTGTGTGGGCAGGCGTACGGCGCGGGCAACTGGACCTGCTGGGCATCTATGCGCAGCGGTCCATCGTGGGATGCGCTCCCGGGGCTCTGGCCTTTCGCCAGGTTCTCCCTCGCCTCCGCCATCATGCTCTTCACGGGTGACCGGGACATGCAGGCGGCCGTGGGGAAGGTGGCGCACCTGCTGGCGGCGACCATGGTGCTCAACAGCGTGCAGCCGATGATCTTCGGGGTGGCCATCGGCGGCGGCTGGCAAGTGCTGGTCGCCTACATCAACCTCGGCTGCTACTACGCCGGTGCAGGTCGGTTGAGTCTATGACGTGGGCCCCACATTGGACAAAACTGCTCCACGTTGGACAAAACAGCCTCACCCGCGTCCAGGTGCTAAAAAAGTGAACGGTTTTGACAGTTAGGGTACTAGCATTATACGATTTTATAGTTGTGGGTCAAAATTAGACAACATGATAGTTGAGGGGCCAAAAGTGGACTTAAATTTTTTTTTAGAAGGAAAAGAAGAACTCTTTGTTGTTCGAATAGCAAATCCGTTGGGCCTCATTCATGGGGAAGACACAGCCTGCCATGGAGTAGCACTCGAAGGGCTTTACTGGGCTGGAATGAGTAAAGTCGAATAAGGCCTATAACTTCCTTATTTATGTCAAACCATTAAAATGGCCGTGCACGGGCCAACCAGATGCTGCCATGCCCTTGCTCACAAAAAAAATGCTGACATGTCCTTTTTCTTTCGGAATTTCTTTTCTCCTCTCGCACAAGCTCAGAAAAGACCTTTGTTTCCGCTCAACCCCCCCCCACACACACCCACCCACCCACCCAAAGAAAAGGACCTTTGCTCTTCCTTTGATTAGGCCAAGTCATATTCCCAGATTCTAATATTCTTTGTTTTGTTGCACACAAAGACAGTATTATTTTAACTTTAGTTTTAGAACCCAACATACCAAGGCAAAATTTAGCCATCACAAAATTCGACCCTCATTTAATATTGGAGGCACATTTTTTCTGTAGCACAACTGGGCAAATTTTGCCTTACCCTCCTAATGCTAGGAACCACAAACCAAACATACCCATAGGCCATAGGGAATGTATTCATGTCAGTCTCACGACAAACCAGAAGCCCAACCAATTTGTAGTTTTGGACCGGTTCATAGCTGTATGGCCAATCCTGTACTGTACTAGAACATATCAGGTTAAATTATTGATTTTTTTGCTAAATATATAATATGTCGAACGCTTCACGATAGGATTTGATTGGAGATTTGTGCGGTCTTCTCTGGTGACTTATCCCTTTTTCGGTGATGGCCAACTCCAGTGAACTCAGTGTTGGTTAGAGGCGTTAGGATTGCGTTCGAGGTTCGGGGTGGGGGGGGGGGGGGGGGGGGGTTGTGATCTCTCGACTATAGAAGGGATGGCAAAGGAGGCTCTGAGTCGACAGTGGTGGTGGACCAGAAGGCGAGAAGGTAGGGCAGCGGGGTGTTGCTCGTTGGCGGGGGAGCTTAGACCAGATAGGTTGCAAACAGGGGTGACAAAGGTGAAGGTGGTGGAGGCAGGGGTGCTCTTATGAGAGAGGTTGAAAACGGAATAGATTAGTAGTGGTGGCTGTTAGTAGATGTCGCAATGGTGATCCTATTGTTAACTGCCCCTAGAGGAGCGTGAGGACAGAGGCAGGAGGTTAGAGTTAAAGTTGTCCCCTTATGAAAGGGGTGTCTGGATCCAAGCCATTGATGCTCCATTGTTGGAACAAAATTTGATAGATTAATTCGACCTAAATTTGTCAACAGATGACTAGTGAGACCCTAAATTATTTGGTCACGTTTTGGAATTTCTCGGCTAGAGATCAAAGAAAAGACGTCCGACCTTTGCGTATAGTGCATCAACCCTTTATTTACTTTATTTATTTCCACCAACATTCATGTATATCACCATCCAGTTTACACACGCACTCAAGGCCACACCACAACTACATACGCCAACACACAAACATGTATAAATATACTTGTAGTCTACAGCCTGCGCCGTGCAGGGACAACTTTCATCCCCCTGCTGCTCAGCGCACGGTCACAATGCAACTCGCCCATGCGCTACGCGAGTAGCCCCCTGGCGATGCGGCCGTCGGCGCCCTGGGGAAAGAACCCGCCGTGCTGGGCGGGGTTACCGGTGCCGTACACGATGCCGAGGATCTCCTCGGGCGTGCGGTCGTAGGCGAGCGAGAGGTGGTCGCCGGCGATGACGTTCCCCACGGTGAGCCCCTCGGGCCCCAGCTCGGGCGCCACTACCAGGCCCTCGTCCTTGACGCCCCTCCTCCCCAGCGAGTTCCGGAGGTCCGAGATGTGCGCCGTGATCTCCGCCACCCCGACGGCGTAGCTCGCCACACGCGCCGTCCCGTGCTCGTACAGCAGCGTCCGGATCACCGCGTCCTGCGCCGACTCCACCGCCAGCAGCCCCGCCAGCAGCTGCCGTGCAGAACATGACTTGTACGCATGACGCATGCACATGCCGTGCCGTGCGATGGCAACTAGGTGACGAGTAGAGTGTTCATGCGATGCACGCGCGCATACCTTTCTGGCCTGAGGGGTGAGGAGCCTGGGGTTGGCGCCGACGTAGCCGGTGAGGCCGACGTAGGGGATGATGTAGGAGGCGATGAGGAAGTTGACGCTGTTCTCGTAGGGGTTGAAGGGCGGGTCCAGCGTCGCGTTCAGCGCCTGCTCGATGATCTTGCCGAAGTTGGCCGCGCTGATGTCCAGCAACGGCCGCGGGAAGCCCCTCACCGTCTGCTTGATCGCCCTGCACACACGCCGGCCGGTCACATTTTGTTCTTTATCTGTTACTGTTCAGGTGTTCCGATTATATATTACCTGAGGTGTCCGACTTCTTGGTAGCAGAACTGGCTGGCGACGTCGCGGATGAATGGGGTGAGGGAGGCGGACTGGCCGCCGATGGAGGGCGGCCCGCCGCCGGTGAGGTTGGCGTCGATGGCGTCGAGGCCGTAGCCCAGAGCGGACCAGCAGAAGAACTCCGTCTCCAGGTACTCCAGGTTCAGCGGGAACTCCAGCAGGTCGACGTCCGACTGCGGCAGCAGCGACCCGGGGGCGCCAAAGAACCCGCGGTACGGGGGCCGCGCCCACTCGTTGTCCATGTCCTGCGCCTGCGCGCGCGCGAAGGCGCCGCACAGGCAGACCACCACCGTGGCGACCACGGCGACGGACGACGCCGGTGCACCCATTGCCGGCGGGCGGCTACGACACTCGATCGCTCACGAGCTAGCGGCGGCGGCTAGTAGGGTAGCTTACTAATTTGGCAACGCACACGTCAGGATAACGAAGCGATGCCTCAGATGCACGTTTGACTTGTGCGTGTGTGCAGTTGATTGCTCCGGGGACGGGAGGGATCGGTGCAAGCATTTATAGGCGGCGCGGGGCGTCAGCTAGCGTGAGGGTGGCGGCGCCGTGAGAGCGGCCGATGATGCCATGACGGGGACGGGTAGCCGTGGCGCGCCAAGGTCGTGGCGCGCGGAGGAGTACGTGTAGTGTTGTTTAAACGCGACGGTCGGTTTGCTTTCTTGTTTGATGAGTTTGGAAGTGGTTGATTCACCTATCGAAGCCAGCCAGCGATGCTCTTCGTGCGTGCGTCTCTCTCTCTCTCTCTCTCTCTCTCTCTCTCTCTCTCTCTCTCTCTCTATATATATATATATATATATATATATATATATATATATATATATATATATATATATATATATATATATATACGAGTTCACAGTTGTTTTGTGAGACATAAAGATGGTGGGTCGATTGGAAGGAAGCAAGATTTTCCTTTGTTTGTACGGTGGCATGTGTGGATATATGCAAATGACGAGGACAGAACAAGCTAAGCATGCCTCGTGCGCTCAAAAAGAAGGGTAGGAAGAGTGTAGAGAAATAAATTGTGATCTACTCCTACCTGCAGGGGAAAAAAAGAACAGCATCCTCCAAATATTAGCAAAGCAGTTTCCCTCAAGAAAAAATTAGTAAAGCAGCAAAATGGCAAACCATAAGGATATCGATAATGCTTCCACTCGTGCGTGCGTCTAGTCGGACGCCACATGCGCCCACTCCGCCCTCGCTGTTACCGTCTTTCCCACCGCGTGCCCCACCCGCGCCGCCCGCTCGTCGCGCCCGCCTCCCGCTCACTCCCGTTGCGCGCGCCACTTGCCTGGCCGAGCCAAGGCCGGTGCTGGTGGCACTGGTGGGGGTGGTGCTTGCGCACTGCCACTGGTGCTGGTGTTGGTGGTGCTTGCGCATCACCGCTCGCCGCTGGCTCCCATCCCGACGACCGGAAAATCTACCGGCCTCGGCCTCCCCTACGTTGCAAGAGTATGTTTCAAGTGTTTCAGATGTTTCAGAGGTATGTTACTAGTGTTTCATATGGATGTTGTAAAAGTAGGTTGGGATGTTGCACATGTTGCAATAGCTATATGAGTATGTTGCAAGCGTCTGTTCCAAATATTTCATATGTTTGTTCAGATGTATTTGTAAGTGAGTTTATCTAGATGTTGCATATGTTTTATATCTATGTTGTGAGTGTTTTATATGGATATTGCATATGTTTTGCAATGACTTTTAAGTGTTTTTAGGTGTTTTACAAGTGTTTCAGAAGCATATTTCAAGTGTTTCATCTGTCTTCAGACGTATATTGCAAATGTTTCATCTGGATATTTCAAAAGTACATCTCGGTGTTGCACATGTTTGGAATGGCCCGGTGGCTAGCCACCACCTTCCTCTTGTCCACGAACTCCTTGACGAGCGCCACGGCCTTGTCGTGGGTCACCAGCAGCTTCGGTGCTGGCCTCCCGGGGACGATGCAGTCGAAGTCGTTGGTGCCGACATCGGCCCAGTACGCCTCCGCATCACGCATACGTAGCCAAAAAAGAGGGTGTTGGTAGACGTGGGCGCTGGTGCTGGATGGATGTGGACGTGGGTAGGCGCAGCAGCAGACACAGGCGAGCGGGCAGGCACATCAGGCAGACAGGCATGCAGCAGCATGCGCGGGCGTCTAGACAAAAGGTGACTCAACTACTCCCTCCATCCATAGAATAATACAATTTTCGCTTTTCGATGAGTCAATCAGTTTAAACTTTTACTGAAATTATATAAAAATGTATTAATATTCTTGATACAAAATAAATACTATTAGATTAGTTATAGAATATACTTTTATAGAGACAAATGCTAATACTATTTACTATAAACCTGATCAAACTGTTAATTTGACCGACACGAATTTCATAGTTGTATTCTTCTGTGGATGGAGAGAGTACACGTGAAAGTTGATACCATACGCAATACAAGCTGGCGAGACCGCTAGCCATGGATGTGAGCCTCATGCAGTCATTCCCAACGGAAATCGTACACAACTGTAGCGCGTATAGCAACGATGCAGTCATGTTCAATAATCCCATTTCCATTTTATAATCTCAAATTTTAAAAAATCAACTATAAATCTTGTCAACTACTACACCTCTATACTCCATCTGAGATTATAGTTCGAAATTTTCAGAAAATTGAATCTCAAAATATGTGGATTTAGAACAAAAATACGAGACACTAAAAAACTTCAAATCAAAAGCTTATCAACAGAAAACGTATAGATCAGGTCGATCAGTCACTACAATTTTGATATTAACCATGTGAACATCCAAAATCATTTGAAAATTCTAAATTTTGAATTTCAAAATTTAAGAACTAAAAAAACATATTTAGGACTCTAAATGACTTTAAATTAAAAAAAAATCAATTGCAACGTTGTAGATTGTATGGACAACTATATGTTTGGTCTAGACCATGTCAATATTTGAGGTTAATTATTTAAATTTTTAAATTTCAACATCTAAAAACTTTGAAACACATTTAGGCCACTAAAAATTTTCAAATAAAAAAAATTCTCAACTACAAAGTTGTAGATCACATCGACCGCTACAATTTTGATATAAAGTTCATCTTCGTCGAACTTCATATGAAAAAATTATGAATTATTTTTTATATAACTATTTCTGAAGGCAAGTCTCTTAAGACGACTGCCTCTATTAATCGATTCATAAGTTAGACACTTAAAATACCACCTCTTGTAGTAGTCATTTTCAACGCCTCTGATAATAGTCAATTAAGAAAAACGGTCACCTTAGGATGCCACTAACATAGGTGGGTGTTTACCCGGAGACTGTCTAACTATTTATAGAGGCGGTCACTAAATGTGTCACCCATTTTGGTTAATTAGAGAGGCTGTCTCCTAAAATCTTTTTTCTAGTAGTGATAAATTACTAAAAATTTTACGAGCCCCATGAGTATTGCAGTGGGCTTGCACATAGTCCCTCTATCAAAAATAAATGCATGTTTCGCTTTCCAAGAAAACAAACTTTTAAGGTTTGACTGAGTATATATAAAACTGTACTACTAATATTTGTGATGTATAATGAGTATTATTGAATTAAATATAAAATATACTTTTATAATAAATCTATTTAAAGATACACATGGATACTATTTTCTAAATTTTTAGTATGGATAAGCGAGATGTGTATTTATCTTAGGACCTATCAACGTCGTCTCACAACGATTAAACTACTGTATGATGTGGAAATTTAGGTGTCCCAGATTGTTCGTGAGCACTGATCACGGAAGTACTGTAGTGGTCTGGCCACTGTAATCGATCTGATCGAGTGTGTAGATCCGCACATTGGCAGCTTAAACGCAGGTGGGCGGCCGAGATCGTGGGTTGTTGTGACCGTGCGAGTTATTTTTGTGCACAAATCTAGACGCAATCGTCGCAAATATACGGCGCGTCCCACTAAAAGGGACCCCAATTCGACTGTGCCAAAGCGAGATAACCAAGAATGATGTGGACGCCGAGACATGTTGTGCCGCAGATGCGCGCGCGTGCAATTCCTGCTTTTGGACGTCGTGGTGCATCGCGCATCGCATTGGCGGCGTCCGGATCATTGCAGTGTGCTTTGATATTTATCGAGAAGAACTGAAGAAGATATATACTGCACCTAGTTCTGTGGCCAGGCCATGACCGCATGACGGCATACAGCCCTTTTTGGTATACAGCACGTGATAGAAATCCAATCCCAATCACGGAGCCACGGCAAAGATTTTTTTTTTAATTTTAACACTTTTTGATAATTAATTTTAAATCTAACACGGTCGCTTTTGGCCGCGTCTATTGCCCTGACGCGGTCAAATGCCTGTGCCGCGCCATGCATGGTGGCGCGGCAGCGAGCTGACGTGGCGACGACCGGATTCGAGGATCGTTGACGTGGCAGGTCCTGCCGCGCCACCGACCTTGGCGCGGCAGTGCCGCGCCCTGATCCGTGGCGCGGCTGGACCGAATAAATACCGTGGCTGGTCCCGCCTGCCCGAGCAGCAAGCCCGGCCGCAGCGCCCGCCGCCCGCCCATTGGTACCTGGACGGTTTAATCGGAACGCGTCGCGCCGATGGTGGGAGTTATTCTAAATATTGCTTGACGTAAAATCAATAGTAGTTTTGTTTCCGTCTTTTGTTGAATTTTTTTCATGATCGAATAGAGAATTTGATAAGCCAATTATTTATTTTCCGTCTTTCATAATACAGTTAACCACCATTTTAACTAATCAATTACGAAAAATTACCACCGGCGTTGAGATACGCCAGGACTGCCGGTTTCCGAACTAGTTGGTACTTAATCTCGCCGGGAGTGCTGCCGCGACGCAAAAAAACGAATATGAAGCAAATAAATGAAGTCCGTGCGCAAGTTGACAAGCTGCCACATAACATTTTCATTGTTTTGACATAAGTTTGACATAACATAACCAAATAACCCCGCAAGTTTCGGACGCCAATATTCGCTTGACCTAACAAACTAAGACCCTCGGACGCCTCTGTCTCTTCGGATTTATTGACAACACATTGGGAGTGTAGCCAACGTCGATATGGTCGCGTCGATGGTGCGTATGGCTCGTACCCTGCAAGTATATGATACGTACGATTACTTATAATTCTTTATGATCGTTAGTTCATGGAGTCTACGTATTTAAAGAAACTATCTTTGATAGTACCTATGAGGCTCCTTGGGTACCAAGCGGGACACCACCTAGCTGAGACATGCCGATCTAGTCCTGCGGCCAATCGTCCCACTGGTCGTGCTGTCTTCGGAAGCCTAGGAGGTCCTCGTCGTCGTCGTCGTCGTCATTGTTGTCCTCGGTTGCAG